GCAGGTGCTAATATAAATAAGGTTTTTTTAGTTTCTCATTTATCTGGGGCTGCCAATGTAAAACTGACTGACATTGGCTAAATTCCTTGAGGGTTTATTCTTTTTCTTTTAATTCTTAGAATTTTTTAAAGGCTTAGTACTCCCTAATTGCCATTTTCCCTTATAAGTTTCATGATGGCTGTCATGTGAGAATAATTTTCAAACCCATTTTCCATTTTTCCATGACTTATTTGTAAAACGACAGATACATATAATTACCAATGATCCTTAAAAGGTGAAACCTAAAGAAACTTTGAAGGGAAGGAAAAGTCCCTGGTTTTTGAATTCAAGCTACTGAATCTAGGGAACATTCACAAATACTTAAGTAAGACCATCCTATTATCAGCAAAGGTGAGAAAGTGAACTGGACAAAATCAAAGTAGACAGATTCAAATGCTGTGGGATACAATACAGAACTCAATGACAAGGAAGTGCCCAGCAAATGGGAGTCACTTAAACATCCTCTATTAAGAGCGACTCTGGGGGCTGGGGATGTGGCTCAAGCGGTAGCACGCTCGCCTGGCATGCGTGCGGCCCGGGTTCGATCCTCAGCACCACATACAGACAAAGATGTTGTGTCCGCCGAGAACTAAAAAAAAATAAATATTAAAATTCTCTCTCTCTCTTTCTCACTCTCTCTCACTCTTTCTTAAAAAAAAAAAAAAAAAAAAAGAGCGACTCTGAACTCAATTTTGTAGCATTAAGTAATGGTGGGTCTACTATCTGAAGAAAACCAAGCCTCTGTTTTGGGCAACAAGCTCTTCCAGGCTGTTCCTGTCAAGTGAACAGGATTCAGAGTGGCTAAGGAGTCCAGGGGTCAATTCAGGGCCTAAAGACCCCAGCAGGAGAGAGACTTTCCTGTTGGGACTGGGATATCTATCTTGCTCCATATCAGCTCTGAGCATTGTGGCCAGAGGGACCACAAGGCCAAATAATAACCAGGTTTTATTTGAAACAAAACCTCTCTCCTTGTCTGGATTCAGCTTAGTTTGTAAATGACAAAGAAGTGAAAATATATACATCATCTCTAGTCATTTCTATTGGATAAACATATGGTCATTTTGAATTGTGGATAATTTTCAGATTCCCTGAGGAAATGAGACGATAAGGAAACCTTTGCTGTATAGAAGTCATCGTATTAAGAGCTTGGTGAATAAACAAATAAATAGAGAAATAAATTCTGGATTCAATGATTTGGTGAATAAACAAATAAATAGACAAATAAATTCTGGATGCAATCAAAAGGAAGTGTCAGTCTGAGTACAAGTTTGACTTGAGAAAGATGAACAAAGGGAGAATTCAATTTTCACTCTGGTGTGTTTTAAATTAATGCTAATTACAGTTAAAGGTGTAAAGTGCTTGTCCTTTATGCTTAATTTATGCTCAATTGCCATGCAATACAGTAATGACATCTCAGCATGTTCCAAATTAACACCGTTTTGTTGTTGTTTTGGTTTGGGGGATTGAACTTCATGACCAAGCCCTGTCTCTACTGCTGAGCTACACTGAGTGCTCGGTATTGTTTATTTGACTGCAACAGAAAACTCTTCAAGCCTGTTCAAGCAGGACCCAAGACCCAGCTCTGGGCATATTACCTGATCCTACTAAGAGCAGACCCATACACAGGCCCAAGTGACCATTTATGGGGTCAGCCATGCTGGGATGGGCCTTGCATTTTTATAGGAAGACTGAGTCCTCAGTGGGGCATCAGAGCAAGAGGGCTTCCTGGGTAACCCACCACACACTAGGTGACAAATCAACACTGGATTTAGAAGCATATTTCTGGCCCATTTGGCCAAGTCATCTGGTCTTTGAATGTAACTGTCATCCTAAAAATACGGTTCTGCCTGCAACTAAAACCATTCTCCAAAGTTTTTCTGGCACATAAACAAGAATGCCCAAGAACACTAGATCTTAGAACAAAATTAATAAAACATAAAAGAAAATTTATAAGGGAATAAAATAGTTGTAGGATGTTTGCCCTCTATGTTAAGCCAGGTCAATAAACACATCAGGACCTATGTGTTATATTTTTAAATGCTTTAAAAAGAGGTGAAATAAAAGTTTACATACAGATCATTGAATTGTGTTCTTTAGTAGAGAAAAAAAATTTTTTTCACAAAAGATATTTACTTAAGAAACAGAAAGCACGGAAGGCCAACTTCGGTGCTCCTATAACAAGTCTACCATTCTTTTTTTTAATATTTATTTTTTAGGTGTAGATGGACACAACACAATGTCTTTATTTTTATGTGGTGCTGGGGATCGAACCCGGGTCTCGTCAGTGCTAGGCGAGTGCTCTACCACTGAGCCACAATTCCAGCCCCAAGTCTACCATTCTAATAGTAAAAATAAGCAGAGTACATTAAACAGCATTTTCAAAGTTTCCTTTTTAAAAAAAAATTTTAGTCCTGGAGATTAAACCTCCCACAGGCTAGGCAAGGGCTCTGCCTCAGAGGTACACACCCATCCCCAAAGATCCTATCTTATTTGAGGAAAATCTGAACAAGAAAAAAAAAAAAAGGCCCAAAGGATTCTTAACCCCCGAATGTTATCAAACTTCCTTGGAGATTYAGTAAGCCAGATGACTATAAATCTCTCTATTGGTGAGCTATGCAATAATTTCAAGTAGTGAATAAAAACATATGCAACAGGGGGAAGTCGTGCCTTCTGGTCTCTACTACTCCAGAAAGCAACTTAAATACTCATATGTTTAATGACCACTGCAAAAAAATAATTAAAAAGATAAAGTATAAATAGTCTAAGTGGTCATGTTCTTTTATTGCCTCCAATGAACAAATAAATAGGATACTTAAAGTAAAAAAGAAGGAAATATAAAAACAYGGAACAAGTCTTTTCTAACATTTGTAAACAGCAGAATTTTTATTCAAATGAAAAGCCAAAGATAAAAAGATAGTACTGGATCATAACCCGAAGAACACGATAAGTATCCATGAGTCCATCCTGATATAAACAAATAAGGATAAAGAGAAAAATCTTCGATGCAGAAGAATTCCAAATAATTTCTGGAGGTGCTACTCTAGCTAGGAGATAGAGAATAACTCACCATTTTAAAAGAGTGCAGTGTTTATAACAGGGAAAAGTAACTTCACAAGACAGAGTTTGTAATACTCTACCTCAGCGATCAAGGTCAGCATCACCAGAGACAATGCATGCTGATCATCGTATGTACTCCTGATGATGTGATGAAAATGKTATTTTACCTCTGTGGTTTTCCTCCMCAAACCCATAATCCCAGTCTAATAATGAAAAAAACATCATAAAATTCCAACTGAGGGACATTCTACAAAGTACCTAACTGGTACCCTTCAAACTATCAAGGTCATCAAAAGCAAGGGAAGTTAGAGAAACCACTACAACCAATAGAAACCCGAAAGAACCTGACTACTAAATGCAAGGTGGTATCCTGGGAAGAAAACAGGAATAGAAAAAGGATGTTTGGGAAAGACTAAGGAATTCTGAGTAAAGTATGGATTTTAGTAAATAATGAATCAATATTGGCTCATGAACTGTAACAAGTGTACCAAGCACCAAAATAAGATGTTAGTAATAGAGGACACCATGTGCTCACTGGGAACTTTATTAGCTTTGAAACTTTTCTGTAACTTTAAAACAAACAGAAAATTTTATTCTTTAATTTATTTATTTATTTGGTGCCAGGGATTGAACCTAARGGCACTTAACCACTGAGTCATATCCCTGACCTATTTTTACCTTTTGTTTTGAGGCAGGGTCTCACTAGGTTGCTTACAGTCTCATTAAGTTGCTGAGACTGGCTTTGAACTTGCAATTCTCCTACCTCAGCCTCCTGAGCTGCTGGGATTATAGGTGTGTGCCACCACACCAAGCACAAACATAATTAAAAAAAAAAAAATATATATATATATATATATATATATATAAATTATGTTTTTTAAATGAGATGCTCTACTTAAATGTAGAGCTAAGACAAGATCCAGAATTTGCTCTCAAAATCCCTGGCCCCAGTCCCTTCTCTAATCCCAGTCTGCCTATCTAAGTCAGTTTAGGCTGCTATAATAAAATACCTTAGACTGAGTGGCTTATTAGCAACAGATTTTATTTCTTACTGTTCTGGAGCCTGAGAGGTCCAGATCAAGGTGTTGGCAGATTCAGTGTCTGGTGAGGGACTACTCTGTAGTTGGTGGTCTTGTCACTGTAGCTTTGTATGGTGAAAAGAGTAARGAGTCTCTCTCTGGCCTCTTTTATGAGGGCTCTAAACCCATTCATGAGACAGAGACACCATGACTTAATCACCCCTCAAAGGTCCCACCTCTGACACCATCATATTGGGGATGAGGATTTCAACATAGGAATTTTAGGGGGACATAAATATTGAGACTATAGCACAACCCCTGACAGAGCCATTTGAAAATCAGTATCAAGGAAAACTGAACCAACCATTATTACAAAATGCCAGTCCTTGCTGTTGGCCTGGCAGGATCCTGCTGCACAATTCAGTCCTGTTTCAGATGACTGCATTACATCATAAGCTCTGTGCAGCTGGAACCACCTCTTAGACTCTCTATCACATGCCGAGCACTCTGCTGGCACCAGAAGACTCTGTGCTTGATAGATTCTCCAACACYAGCAGGAGCGGGAACTATTGCAAATATAGGGTGGAGGCTTCCACCACCAACCTATTGACCTTCCTGACAACAGATCTGCAGAAATCGCTTCATCATCAATCAAGCCTATCTTCCGTGTCCTGGCGCCATMAGACAGGGCAAACATCTCCAAAACAGTTTTGGCCTTTTGGTATCTCACAGAGGGATGGATGCCCTCCGGCCCCCACCACCCCACCCAAAACTACTCTTGGTAGAATTCAAAAAAAGGAAGTTAGTAAGTTTCCTAAAACTTGATCACATTTATCTTACATTACTTCCATGTTTAGTTGGCTCATTCTACCACAGATTACTCACCCACAAGACAACCAGGCGCAGCTAAAACAAGTGGTTCGTAAGCTCGCTGAAAATGAAAGGTGATCGTCACCTGGAAAGCTACAGATTTTATTTCTCATCAGTTGATAGAGCAGTACTTGTTCCAAATGGGGGTGGTAACTCGGCGACGAATCACTGGCATGCAATATCTGTGGAGCCAGAGAAGAGCCATTAGRAAAACAGATGAATGGCTTAGGGGCCCAGGGTTCACACACCAGCATCAAATGCATATAACAATTTGGAGAAGCATTCATTTAAAGGGCAGTTACTGAGCACCTGCGATGTATCACACACACCCCTGTGCTCATGAGCTCAYATTCTTGTGTAGAAAACACAGCAAACAAGAAATACGACAGGAAGAATTTCCAATGGTGGCAAATGCTAGCATGGAAATAATCCAAGGTRAAAGGCTAGACTAGCACAGGATGAGGCAATGGGCACAGCAAAGTGGACTGAAGAGGGGAGGAAGTTTTCAATGCTCAGGGAAGACCTTTCCRGGAAGTCACATTTGACTCTTTTATGATCGATTAAAATAATGAAAAGCAAGTAGGGCAAAGACTCGGGAGAAGGGTGCTCCAGGCACAGAGAACAGCACACTGAAAAGCCTGAAGCTTGGAAGCACGTGTTGGTGTGTTCAGAAAGGCCACCACCAAGTTCTATCGAGGTGACCCAGAGGCTGAAGCAGACACAAAACCAGCACTCTGAGCTGGCTGTGTAGGTAGGAACATAGGTTCCAAAAGAACTGGAGCCCAGGGAAGCGGGCCCTGTGTAAGTGTCAGGCTAATGGGGCAAAGAACAGCTTCTGATTACCAAATATCACTAGGTTAGAATTTGAGTTCAAACATAAAAACTCATGGCTACTGTGCAACAGGGCAGGGCCCAGCACCCCAAATGACCCAATGCAGAGCAAGGTACACAAGTGCGAGGGCTGGGCAGGAGGAGCCCACAGGAGCCAGGGTTCCGGAAAGCAAAACAGTGATCGTCAAAATCCCAAGGGTACTTACAAATCGCTATAGGGTGTCCCATTCCTCAAGAGCCTCAATCAGGAGGAACAGTGATGGGAGCTGGAAATCTGTGTCCTAGTTAAATCCTCAGCAGATTTTGTTYAGCTGGAACTGAGAAGTACTGTGATGGAGAAGGAGGGAGGGTGGGGAAGGAGGGAGGGCAAGCTGTTTTTGAGGGAGGGGCTGTCAGAAGACTCTTATCTCCAGGAAAAAAAAAAGAATCAAGGCCTAAAATGAATGCAGTTGAGATCTAAAATACTTCGTATTAACTAACCGTACCAGCTAATAGGAAAACAGAGAGGAGAAGGTTGCATAACTAAGTGTATTCCTTCCCCCCAATCACATCCCCAAATTCAGAACCACGAGACAGGTCAAAGAAAGGGAGAGAAGGAGACAGTAGAATGAATCGGACGTAACTTCCCTATGTTCACATATGAATGCACGAGGAGCGTAACTCCACATCATGTATGACCACAAGAATGGGATCTTAATTAGAATGAATAAGTTATACTCCTTGTATGTATAATATATCAAAATACATTCTACCATCATGTATATCAAAAAAAGAACAAAGAAAAAGAAAAAGAAAAAAAAAGTTCCACAATAAAAATTTTTTTAAAAAGGGGAGGGGGGGGGARAAGGAGGGAGTAGGAGCACTCCAGTGTCCCACATGGCCAAAGCCAGTAGTGACAAATGCTTAACAACCAGCTTGGGGAAGAGATGCACTAACTGTAACGTTCAGCAATTTTTACCATGTACATGTTCCCACTGTGGATGATATCAAGCTACCAACATGACATCACCAGAGCAAGTTTGGAAAGAGACAGACAACAGTTACTGTATTTTCACTATACAAAAACAACAACTTTAAAAGCATAGGTAGCCATAAACATATTACAATAGTTAGTAAATAATGGGTTTGGAAATTTATTGCCTTTGTTTTCAATACAATTTATTTAAGGTAAGTTTAAAATCTAAACTTAAGAAAATTTAATTTTTTTAAAAATATATTTTTTTAGTTGTAGTTGGACACAATACCTTTATTTTATTTATTTATTTTCATGTGGTGCTGAGGATCGAACCCAGCGCCTTRCATGTGCTAGGTGAGCACTCTAACCCAGCCCCAAGAAAATTTAATTTTTAATAATGTTGTGATGAAACAACTGGCACACAAAATTCCTGAAAATTAAKAAATCAGCTCTCGTATGAGCCAGTTCTAGCACATCACTTGCAAAAGTGTACTGAAGCACTTTATAAAAMCTTTATAAAGTGCTGCAAGAAATATGTTCTTTTATTTTACATTTTGACATTACTTTGCACTATTTCACAGGACAGATTTTCTTACTCCAAACATTTGTCCATGTTAAACATATTGCCGCCAAGTTTCCTTCTAAAGTTATCATGTTGATTCTGTTCTGCCACAAAACACTAGAGTTGTTCCTGTTTTCATTTATTTTTGTTTACTTAAAAGGTGAATAGATAATACTTTGGTATTTATTTGGTTTAGTACTGGGAGTTGAACCCGGGGCCTCGCACCTGCTAGGAGAATTCCATGCTAGGCAAGTTCCACCACCTAGCGACATTCCCAGCCCAAAGCTTTGTTCTTAAAACAAAGACAACAGCTGGCTTTCCCTTCCCTTTTCATGTCCTATAACAAGGGTCTAGCAGAGCCTTCGCCTTCACATCTTCTCTCTGGAGCCAGAAGCTTCCAGCTAAGGGGTACCTGCCTTCTGTAAGAAAGAGAAGTGGAAAGGAAACCCCCTGTGCTCATCTGGGAATTATCAAGAACAGCCTGCCTTCAGGTGTTGTTCGGGTGTTTTACACCCTGACTCTTTCATAGAAGAGGTTATCAGGAAAGGAGTTCTTGGGGATATGAAAGGGGAACAATAATCATGATTTTTTTWAAAAAGCAAGAGTAAAAAGCAAAAGGCTACTGGTGTAGGTTCTTGACAGTCTACACTTTCACCCAGGATGCATGTGTATAGGTACTACCCACAACCCTATAAAGCTGACAGTGCCACTGTTACCCTTCTCCCATTTAATGTGAAGCTAAAGAATGGGATGAGAAGGATTTTTTTCCAACTCAGCATGAGCTAGTTCACTCTTAACTTGAAAGGACACCCTATTGCTTCTTAATTCTAAACACATTTTTTAAATGCACCTCTACACATATATCCAATGAAAGAGCTTCTCCAATGAAATGCCATGCTATGCTTGTGAATTAAGAAAAATCCAATGTTCTGGCTAATGTCAACTCATATACACCCAAATTATAATTATCAAAAGCATGCAGTTCCCTGTCGCTGGCCATAACCAGCTCTGTTGCCAGAAGTCTTCTCACTGCCTCGCTTCATCTCGGTCACATTTTTGCAGAGCTGGGGGCCTTCCAAGAAATGGAGGCAGTGCACAGACCCCCTCTTCAAACCCTGATTCTTGCTGTCAAGTCAGAAAGATTTCAGGTATGACGCTTAGAGTAACAGCTGAGCATTTACTGAAGGGATAAGAAAAGGGAAAGGGGACGCTCTCAAGGGAGAGAGTGGGACTTCTCAGAGAGTGCCTCTCCTGCTCTCCAGATTCCAGAGAAGTTTCCAGAGAGCCTTGCMCAGATCCACCTCTTGACTTTTGACTAACAACAAGGGGACATCAAACTTTTAAGTTCCCACTGCCATGACAACTCTAGGTCACCTTGGCCCATGCCAATTGGTTCTAATTGGAACCGTAAATTCTTACAGATTTTATGGTTAGGAGGAGTCATCCTTATCTCCCTGAGTTTTAGAATCTAGTTTATGAAAAGGGTCACAAAAGTCTCTCCCTTCAGGGTCACTTGTGTTCCTCTTATTGACACTGATACAAGCCTGCATTTCTCCTGCAGATAACAAGTAGTTTGTAGAGGAATGTGACATACCAGTCCACTTAAAYCAGGCAGGGCTGCAGGCAAGTTACTTCTAGGAAAAGAAAGCGTTTGAGGGTCAGCACAGTCGGCCCATTATATAGAATTATTCTCTTTACCTCCTGTTCCCACCATTTGCACTTAAGAGTTCTCTAACAACAAGGAATCCTATTTTCACTCAAGAATCCCTCCTGCACAAAACCGGATGCAGTGGCTCATGCATATAATCCCAGCAACTCAGGAGGCSGAAGCAGGAGAATTGCAAGTTCAAAGACAGCCTAAGCAACTTGGACTTTGTACCCAAATTAAAATAAATAAATAAAGGGCTGTAGATGGGGCTCGGTGGTACTGCCCCCCCTTGGTTCAATCCCCAGTACCCCCACAAAAGAATTCTGCCTGCACAAAACTAAGTTCATCATCCATATGCCCATGTTCCCATAGGGCCRCACATCACTATCTATGCTAGCACTAATTCCAGTTTGCTTGGTATTTTGGATGTCACTCATGCTGGATTTGGTGCAAGAAAGGTGAGGACAGGGTGTGAAAGGGGAACCTATCAGTTATTGTGTCATTTCTATGTCCTGGGCTCTATTCTAAACAAACTCTTTACAGGCACGATTTTCTTCATTCCTCACAATAATCTGAGATAGATACTATTTTATCCCCATTTTACAAGTGGGGAAATTGAAGCACAGAATAATTAAGTTACTTACATATTGAACTAGAGCTCAATCTAGATCTGAATCTAGACTCCCTGATTGTTAGGCAGAAGCTAACAGCTATTACCCCTTCCAGTGAGGTGGGAGCCCAATGATGCCTTACAAGCCTCACAGGTGTGGTTTGCCTATTCACAGGCTCACCCACTCACATTTCCAGCCAAGACAACGACAGGTTTGGAGCTGGGACTAGGGTCAGGATTAGGGTTGGGGCTTTGCTTCACATGCCTAGCTTTTATATATTTATCATATACAATATATTGACAGGTCGATTCTTCCCCTTGATACTTAAGGTTCTGGCTGAAATTCCAACGTACTCCTCTCACCTTTTCTAAAAAAATATTTTTGAAAGCCAGACATGGTGGCTCATGCTTATACTATCAGCTACTCAGGCCACTGAGAAAAGAGGATCACAAGTTCAAGGCCAACCTGGACAACTWGGTGAGATTCTGTCTCAAAATTCAAAACATCAATAA